AGCGGCCACTCTAGGAGTGTGCTCTATGGTTGTGGGCTGGCTGCCAGACAGAGAGTCTTCTGGACAGAGTGTCTTCCAGGGTTCCATGCACTGACCTAGGGGGAATCCCTAATGTGCCAAGCTGCAAGAGCTGCAGGGTGGGCAGAGCGCCACGTGGCTTGGTGCCTTAGGAATATCCCCTAGGTCAGTGAATGGTGCTCTGCCCGGATGGAGAGGGTGTTTGCCGGGCGGCTGCTCGTGAGCGTGGTCACCTCATGGTTGCTTCACCCCTGAGGCTGTACCCGGCTCTCCGGGAGCCCACTCGCAAGGGAGCAGCCACCCGACAACTCCCCCCTCTGGCCAGGCAGAACGTCACTCCCCAACCTAGCAGTATCCCGAAGGCACGAAGCAACATGAGCGCCTTTCTGCCCCCCTGGCTCCCACGGCTTGGTGCCTTTGGGATACCACTAGGTTGGTGAGTGGTGGGTGCTCTGCCTGGCTGGGGGTTGGGGTTGTCCAGGGGGCTTATTTTCAGGGGTGGGCTTATATTTTTGCCCACGCGAAAAATGTGGCAAGGCATTAGTTTCAGGACAGGTTGTATTTTCGGGGAAACATGGTATGTAACTTAAAAAATGAAAATGCTGTGAAATCCGGACTAGTTCAGATTAAATATACGCATTCAGTTTTCACTGATTTCATTTCAATTAGCAACTCCACACTTTTCTATTTAAAAATCAATCAAATTCTCATTATTTGAGGTTGTATACAGGTAGTCCTTGACTTTTACAACAGTTTGTTTAGTGACCAAGTTACAAGTGACTTTGGACTATTTTTCTTACTTAAGACTGTTGCAGCATCTCCACGGTCATATAATCAAAATTCATACGCTTGACAACTGACTCGTACTGATGACAGTCGCAGTGTCCCACGTGATCACCTTTTGTGAACTGCTGACAAGCAAAATCAAAGGGGAAGCCAGATTCATTTTACAACCGTGTTACTAACTTAACAATTTTGGTCGTAAGTCGAGGACTTCCTGTATATTCAATATCTCTGCATGCTCCTCATCCTACAATCTGTAACAAAAATATATGTATTTATGAACTAAAAATATATTTTAAATTATTGAGAATCAATAAGCTGTATTAAACAGGGTTTAAAGGAGGAGCTCTGACAATTCAAGTGACTACAAATAAAAAAAAACCCCACCAAATAAAGAACAGTACAGAAATATAAATAGGTATGGTACTGTACAGCTGGAATTAGAAGAAAACAAGATTGTACCACAACCATGGAAATAAAACAATAGAGTTGGAAGGGACCTTGGAGGTCTTCTAGTCCAACCCCCTGCTCAAGGATACCCTACACTATTTCAGACAAACTTGTGAAGGCGAGCTATTCCATTGGTTGATTGCTCTCACCATTAGCGTGAGGGCAATGTATGATATTATCTTTTGACAAATCATGTTCTTTGGGCACCAAGCCCACATTTTTCACATAACTAGCAGGGTTCCTTAAATCCAATTTCTATGCCGCAACTGAACCTTGTGTGTATAGCATATGCTCTATTGCAGAATTGCAGGCCTTCCCTCATTGCCCACTACCCATTTCTTCACTCTCAAGAAAGAGAGACAAGATAGTCCTTTGTACCTGATCAATATGTTCGGTGGCAACTGCAGCTATTCTGTCCAGTAACAGTGGACAGCGATAGTTGGTTCCAATCAGAAAGGATGCAAACTTCACGACATTTGATGGTGTGATCTGATCTCGCAATTGACGTAAAGCAGCTATGGTCTTCCCGAGAAGCACTTCCTGAAACCATTTCCCGTTTAAGTATCTGAATTCCTTCAGCAAAAGATCCAAATTGTTCATTCTCTCAAGTCTCTGAAATGCGCAATTGTTAACTTTTTGCAAAAGTGTCCCGTATGGTCCGGAATAGCTTTTCTGATTCGGCTTATGATGTTTCATCCATTTTAGGAGATCTATGGTAAAGCTATTGAGCTGATTCAGATTGCACTGAGGTAGGACAGCATCAATTTGAGTAACTACAGCTTCATCCACATAAGGAGAAGGAAGATTAGAGAGAACGTGGACCAGCATGAGAACATCAGCGGGGACTCTTTTAACTTGTAAATGGCTGGAATTGAGACAATAATAAACAAAGAATACATTAATAAAATAATAAATTGGGGGGGGGCATTAATTAAAAAAACCAATGCACAAGATATGTGTACCACGTATGTTTTTACTACATGATTTTCAGATAGATCACATGCATACTTATTAAAATGTGCTGAGGACTATTTTCAGAGTTATAATGCTAGAAAACTGGAAACAAGGAACAAAGAAAATAAGGAACCAACAGTATTAAACATTTATAATTGAAACCATTATTTCTATGAATTTTAGCTAAGAATTTAATGAAGATACGTATCTATTAAAGCCATAAAGGTAAAAACAATATGTTTAACTAATGCATGTCCTTTTATTTCCAGATGATGCACATACATTGCTCTGAGCATAATTTTACAAATGAAATAAACACACAACACAGACAGACACACGCACGCAAGCACATACATATATGTACGTATAAAATTTAGAGAGGAGGGGGGAATTTACAAAGGAGGGTAAACTGTCAAAAAGCAGTACATTGAGTTTTGATTAATAGAGAGACATTTAGGTAGATGTCACTCAAATAGAAGAGAATGATACGGGGGGGTGGTGGAATATGGTTTGTTCATGTATGTAACAACCACTTGAAAGTTCAAACAGAATTTTCCAGGTGAGTCAGTCTATTTGAACGCTAAATTAATACAGAAATACAACATGCATTGAAATTTGGAAGGAGACATTGAGTCCAAAATCTTCATTTTTATTCTTCAAATAGCTGTCACCACAATTTTTATGAAAATAAGAAATTGTTAGAAATGATTTATTTTCCAGACATTGTATGAGTTAGCTGAATGAGCCAGTATCAAATAGACTTACAGAACACTTGCTCTGTAGAAATGTAATACACACTTCTATAGGGCAAGTGATCTGTGAACCTATTTGCAAAGCTGTATTAAATTTGCAGACCTGGGCAGTTCTGTCACTTGTTTAAACCAGTATTTCGTTAGTGCTCAGCTGCGATGTGTAGGTTTCCTAAAAAGTCTGAAAAAGACAGATCCACCATTTTATATTCCCTTACACTCATCAAGTGTTTCTAACCCCCATGAAGTACAAGCCCGAATGAATAAAGTCCAAGTCTGAGAAACTAGATGTGCTGGGAGGGGGGGGGGGAGTACCTTCTTACCAGATTGTCAATTGTTGTAATTTGGAATATAGGTCAGATTTGGGCCAATGCAGCATGGCTAGCACATTTGTCATTCTCAAAAGCTCGTATGGTTTATACTGATCCAAGTATTTGTGAAAGAGGGATATAATCCTGAAAGCCAAAAAGATACACATTGCAGCATTAGGTTTCAAGTTAGAATGTTCTCTGGAGTGACTTATTCCGTTATACATACCAGACAAGCAGCAAAGTACAATTTTAAAACAAGTGGACTTTGTTTTAAAGGTCCATTCTCTTGCAGCAATTCGTATGTAATTCTTAGGGTTCTTTGGCCCGCCATACAGACTAGAAATACCTTTTTGGTATAATTTTTTAATTATAATTTTTATATAAATTATGCAATAATAGTATAGTACTGTCTGGAATAAAAATAATGTCCTGGTTAACACCATCATCCTAATCACTAACCTACAACCCAGCAACGACAACTGGAGTTTCCCCCCCCCCACTTCAATAATGTCTTTCTATATTTTGAGATAATTATTCTGAAATAACATACAGTTCCATATTAGTCAATCTAAGCTCAAAGTATTTAACCTTCTTCTCAATTTTAAAACCCGCTTTATTCATCGGTGTTTCTCGATCACACAGTCATATTCTTAACTGTTTTTCTTCTTTGCTTATTTATTTTAAATCCAGCTAATGCATTAAAATCTCTTGATTTCTTTCATTCATTAAATATTCTATATCATTCTTGGCTTCTTGTATAATTGAAATTAAAGCATCAGCAAAAGACCCTATTTTATAAGTCTTTAAATTTTCAAGCCTATTGTTTTCTCATCCTGTCTGATATCGCTCTTCAAAACTTTTAGAACTAAAATAAAAAGCAGAAGTGACAAGGGACATCCTTCTCTACAGCATGATCATAAGTGTGTCTAGCTGACTGCAAGTTTTTACTTCTAAGAAATACATTTAGACTTGGGGTACAATACTAAGTAAGAACACGCCATGTTGTATGTTGACTAAAATATACCCAGACATTTGCTCACAAAAATAAAGAATAACTTATAACATGAATAGGATTCTTATGTTGTCTTAGAAGATTACTTTTGAATCAGTAGTGGATTTCTGTATTGTACTTCTTGCATTTTTTCCGCCACAATTAACGTTTGGTATCGATCCAAATCATCTGCGATTAGTAGGATCTTTTCACTTAACCTAAAAAGAAATGCAGATATATTTATATATGCATATGTTTCTGATAGAAAACCTGCCTGAGCATTCAGAGTCCATCATTCTTTTAAAACATAGTTTGCTGATGAACCAAGAACAAAGTTTCACAAAAGAAATTTTCTGAAAGACATTGAAAAGTGTAGAAATTCAGATGAACAACACAAGTTAATTTTCCGCAAATAAAAAACTGAAATTTTCAAGTCAATGTTTATTAGGGATTTTGACCTGACAGCAATGTGAAATATTTGATGCTGATTTCGTGTGTGCAAGTGTGTGCCTACTTATTGCTCGACTTACGAACCCCAATTTGGTCCAATGTTTCTGTTGCCAAGTGAAACATGTGTTAAGTTAACGTTGCCCCATTTTATTATCTCTCTTGGCACAGTGAATCACTGCAGTTGTTAAGTTAGTAACGTGGTTGTAAAGTGAATCTGGCTTCCCCATGGATTTTGCTTATCAGATCACAAAAGGTGATGACATGACCCTGGGACACGCCCACTGTCGTAAATATGAGTCAGCTGCCAAGCATCTGAATTTTGCTCATGTGACCATGGGGATGCTCAATGGCTGTGTGAAAAATAATCAGTCACTTTTTACAATGCATTGTAACTTTGAACAGTCACTTAAGGAACTGTTTGTTAGTCGAGGATTAGTCGAGGATTAGCTCTACTTCCCAGCCTAGCCTACGTTTTTCTATTGCCTGAGAATCTTCCATCTCTTCAACTACTGTGTTTCCCAAAAAATAAGACCCAACCAGAAAATAAACCCTA